CCCCCTGGCGCCAGCGGCAGGAGTTGCGCTGCAGGGTTGGCAATGCCATTCCCAGCCCCGGGACCGAGTCCTGCCCGGTTACCTGGGGGCCCCCAAGGACACTGATTCCTAGTACTTCTTTAGACCACTCGGGGCTTGGTTCTCTCGTCTTTCCAATGAACTAATGATGCCAGGGCCGGGTGGCCACAGGAAGTGGGCTGCACAGCTGCCCCAGTGCCTGTCGCAGCGCAGGGCACACCCTCGGTGCTCAGTACTTAGAATCAAGAGGTGAGCGAACCGGGCCATCTCAAGACCGGACTCTGGACCTACTGAATCCTCAGTAACTGCAGATGGCAAGCTGAGACTGCGGTGGAGAAGTGGCTTTCCGTGGGGCTCGGCCTCTGTGGGGTTCATTCACACAACACTGGGTTCAGAAGCGCCTAGCGAGGAACTGTGACCAGGTCAAAGGCTACTTATTTATTTGAAAAATCCTAACAATAATCCCTCCACTGCAGATCAAGTCCAGTTCTAAGCACTTTCACGTGCTAATTCTTCACGTGTTAATTCCTCTTAACACTTGTATTGTTGTTACACCCATTTCAGAGATGAACAGACTGACCAAGAAATGAGTTGCTGGCTCAAGGTCATGCTGCTAATTAGTGATCCTGGAGAAAATGACACCTACGGATGAGACTGTGAAGGGAGGAGAATCAGTCGGGTCAAAACTCTTCTCAGAGGCCACCCAGAAGTCAGAGAGAAAGAAGAGCAATTACTTCTAACTTTGCAAGGAAAAGAACTAAGAACCCAGAATTCCAGATTCCAATCGTGAGAATAAAAGAACAAAAGAGATTTTTCAAATGAGCACAACTCAGAAAATTGCTATTTACAGATACACTCTCCAAGAATTAGTAGGGAGTAGGTCGGGGGTGTGGCTCAGTGGTAGAACATTTACCTAGCATGTGTGAAGCCCTGAATTTGATTTCCAGCACTGCAAACACACACACACACACACACACACACACACACACACACACACAAATTAGTAATAAAAATACTCTAACAAGAAATAAAATGAGCTGGGGAAGAAGAGCACACCTGTAATCCTACTTATTGAGGAAGCTGAGGCAGTGTGAGACCAGCCTCAGTAACTTAGTGAGACCCTGTCTCAAAAGGTAAAAACGAGGGCTGGGGCTGTGCCTCAGTGGTAGAGCACTTGCCTAGTACATGTGAGGCACTGGGTTCGATCCTCAGAACCACATAAAAATAAACTAAACATATGGTGTCCATCTACAACTAAATATATATATATTTATATATTTATATATATACATATATATTTACATATATATGTATATATATATATTTTTTTAAAAAAAATTTTTTAAGTGCTCCTGGGTTCAATCCTCAATACCAAGGAGGGAAGGATTGTCATGTCCCCAAAAGAAATGCTTAAGTCTTAATCCTGGTATCTTGGGAAGCAACCTTATTCAGAAACAGGGTCTTTCCAGAGGTACCCAAGTTAAAATATGATATTGGGGTGGGAGGGTAGGCCCTAATTCAATATAAATGATGTCCTTTTAAAATGGGAAAATTTGGACAGAGGGCCGGACCCACAGTTGAAAGGCTGACCTGGGGTGGGGAGGGTTGGTCATCTGCGAAGAGGCATGGAGCAGAGAACAATGAGCTCAACAGAAATGTCCAAAATAGGTGTGCATGTTGGAAATTTGATAGGTGACAGAGGCATGATGCCAGAGTAGTGGGGAAAGGGCTGGCCTTTGGTACAACTGGCTACATCTATCCTAAATCCTTACCTCAGTGCATTTTCCAAAATAAATCTGCTATGGAGTAACGATGGAAACATAAAATCAAAACTGGGGAATGTTTAGAAGAAATGACAGAATATACACAGATGACCTTGGGGTATGAAAGGTCTCTAAAACCAGGAAGAGCAAAAGCCAGGATGGAACAGATAGACAAACAGGCGTGAATAAGCCCTAAGAACTTCTAAATAAATAAAGCTAAAACACAGAGTACAAAACGAGGAGGAAACCTTCGCAATACATGGGACTGACTAAGAATTGGAATCAGAATCCAGAACGTACTCCTATAAATTAATAGTAATAAAAAGGGCACACAAGCCATTTAAAAAAATGGGCAAAGGATATGAGCAAGCAACTCACAGAACACAAAATATCTAAGACCAATAAACTCACAAAAACATGTTCTATTTCCTTAGCAATCACAGAGTTACAAGTTAGAACAGTGTGATACTATCCTTTCAGGAAATGACTAATACTAACTCATCCACCAAGTCTCCGCCTAGCTGTCCCCTCCTCCAGGAAGCCCTTCCTGACTCCCGGGCTGGGTTAGGCGCTGCTCCTAGCCCCATCCCATGGCTCTGTGGGGTCGCCCGTCCCTCCCACTCTGGTGGTCACTGTTTGGGACTCTCACTGGATGTAAGGCCCTCGGGCAGGGCAGCGCAGGGCCGTCCTTGGTCACCGCTGTCACTGGTACCGCCCCGCATAGCGCCGGGAACAGAGCCGGCGTTTGGGGAATGGTGGAATAAATGAATGATGGGGAAACCGAGGGCAAGCAATGGCCGATTTGGGATTCAACTCAAGTTTCTCTGTACTGAGAGGGGCACCTAGTTTGATTTCCCGACATCCTTCTCCACTGAGCCCTGCCCGGAGCCCGGGAACACAGGAGGCGATCAACAGGGCACCTCAGGCCCTGGAACCCGCAGACCCACGGCACTTTCCTAGCCAATCCTCCAAGGTCCTCCAGGACCATAGAGAGCTGCGCAGGGCTGCCCCTCTCTATGCTCTCCCGTGGGGAGCAGTGAGACGGACCGTGGGCCAGAGAGGCCGGAAGTGCGGCAAACTGGGGCCGCGCTGGTCGCGCTGGCGGTGGGTCGCCTCGTTCCCCCGCCGTCTTTCCCTTTGGGCTCTGGGGCGAGCAGGTGAGTGGGTCCTCTTGGTGCTGAGACCCCAGGTAGGGGCGAGAGGGGCTGGAGGTGGAGGCCGCAGGTGGTGATTGGCAGCTGCAGAGGACAACCTTTGCAGTGTCTGCGACCCACCTAAAGGCGGCGTAGAGCGTCCAGGTGCGAGCCTTGGGTGCCGGCCCAACGGCCCGCGGAGACAGCGGGGCGGGGCGCAAGGGGCCCGGGTGGCGGAGGGCGGGGCGAAGGAGTCCAGGGACCAAAGGGGGCGGGGCGAAGGAGTCCGGGGACCGAAGGGGGCGGGGCGAGCAGAAGGCGGGTGGGTGGCGGCGCCCTTGGGGCGGGGCATTCTGCAACCTAGGGCTGTGGATATTTGGGACTTGACGTTTTGGGACACTGGAATTTTGGGGGGTGAGGATGGGCAGCTTTGAATGGGGGTCCCTGCTGGGAGGGTGCTAATACAGATGCCAATATCTCAGTTGCTTCTGCAGCCACATCTTCCCTTTCTGGCTCCTGATGGAACCAGGGAAGGACGAGGAGGGGGTGCCGCAGCCTGCAGGGCCACCCACAAGGAAAAAATTTGTAATCCCGCTGGACGAAGATGAGGTCCCTCCTGCAGGGGTAGGACGAGGAGATGGGGGACGCCTGGGAATGGGAGTGGTGCTGGAAGGGATCTGTGGGGCCACACTGTGGATTATGTGTGGGGGCCTAGGTGGCCTTGGGGAAACAGCCCTTTGCCCTGGGCAAGTCTCAGTTTCCCGATCTGTAAGATGACAGAGCAGTTCTAAGAGGGGGCCAAGGCGGAGGCCAATAACTGGCAGCTAGCGGGTGGCCCCTTCATGTTTTATGTGGTCCAAACCCTATTTTTGCAAGAAGACATTTGTGGCTGATGGGCCAACCCATAAAACAGGGAGGGACCCACAGGGGTTCAGTGTTCCCTCCCTGGCCCCATGTGACCCCCTTTCCTCCCCACAGGCCAAGCCCTTGTTCAGATCCACACGGAACCTTCCTGCTGTGGAGACCTCTGCCCAGGAAGCCCCTCAGACCTATGCTGAGTATGCCATCTCACGGCCCCCAGGAGGGGCTGGAGCTCCGGGCCCCACGGGGTCAGAACCCCTGGCCGGAGAGACCCCCAACCAGGCCCTGAAACCAGGAACAAAGTCCAACAGCATCATTGTGAGCCCCCGGCAGGTGAGGAGGGAGACAGGTTTCTGTGGGGAAAGCCTGTGATGGGATGGCCCGGGTGGTGGCAGAGTTCTAGCTACTTTGTTTCAGCAGCCTGTTCATTCATTCATTCACCAGCTCTGTGTGTTGAGGGTGGCCCAACTCTGCTTCCTGGGGTTGTGACTGCCTATGTGCAGCTCTGTTTCTGTCCCCAGGTTTGCTCATTGAGCCAGGCATGGTGGTGCACAGCCTGTAATCCCAGCAGTTTGGGAGGCTGAGGCAGGAGGAGCAGGAGTTCAAAGCCAGCCTCAGCAACAGTGAGGTGCTAAGCAACTCACTGAGACCAAAATACAAAAAAGGGCTGGGGATGTGGCTCAGTGATTGAGTGCCCCTGGGTTCAATCCCTGGTAACCCCCCCCCCAAAAAAAAAAAAGTATTAAAGGAGCACAGGCCTGAATTTGAATCCCTTTCTGCCATGCAATAGCTGTGTGACCTTGGGTGAGTGACTCCACCCATCTGGTCCCTTTAAATGGGAATAGGGCAGAGAGATACACAGAAAGTTAGGAATGCTACTTTCTGCTCTGGGGATGGAGCGGTGGAAAGGGAACAGGGAAAGTCTTTGCCACTGTTAGAGCCAGTGTCCTTGGCAGGGAGAGTGGCCTGGGTACAGGTGATAACAGGACCCAAGCACAAGGGAAGGCTCAACACTTTTGCCACCAGAAAAATGACATCTGACTCACAATGAGATACTGCTCCCCGCCTACCAAGAAGGCTGTCACCGAAATGATGGACAAGCTGGGTGCCATGGTGCAGGCCTGTGATCCCAGAAACTCAGGAGGTTAAGGCAGGAGGATTGCAAGTTGGAGGTCAGCTTGCAATCTTAGGGAGACCCTGTCTCAAAGACCCTAGGGAGACCCTGTCTCAAAAAAAAAAAAAAAAAAAAAAGCTACGGATGTGGCACAGGAGTTATTGCCCCTGGGTCCAATCACCAGTAACAAATGTAAGTAAATAAGTGAAAAATAAAAAGGGCTGGGATGGAGCTCAGTGGTAAAGCACCTGTGGTCCAGTCTCCATACCACACACACAAAAGTCAACTGCAGAGCTGTCACGTGACCCAGTGACTCTGCTTCTCGGTATGTACTCATGAGAAATGAAAACATACGTCCACACAAAAACCCAGACACAAGTATCCATGGTGGTGTCGTTCACAGCAGCCAACAAGGAAGCCATCCAGGTACCCCCCACTGATGCCAGGCTCTTTAGACTCAGGGTCTCTATGAGTTGCTTCGAACTCAGCGAGATCCTCCTGCCTTAGCCTCCTCCACCACTGGGATTACAGGCATGTGCCACCATGTCATGAGCAACATGACATTTCTGATACCAGACAACAGGCAGTTCTCTCGGGGGACACCAACTGTGTGTCCTATGGGTTAACTCGGTTCTACCACCACCTCCTTGGAGACAGCATCAGATCCCACAGGTGTGTGTGGGGGGGTGCCCAGGCCCCGGCCCACCCTCCCTGCCTGAGGAATAAATCAGAAGTTCCCTCGACCTCCTCCTTAGGTTCAATTAATTTACCCAAGCAGATCACAGATCTCAGAGAAATAATTTTTGTTTACTGGTTTATTTAATTTATTTTTAAACATTTTATTAGTACCATATTTCTTTTTTTTTAATTTTTTTTTTTTGTGATGGTAGATGGACAGAATGCCTTGATTTGTTCATTTATATGTGGTGCTGAGGATTGAACCCAGTGCCTCACCCATGCCAGGCGAGCGCTCTGCCACTGAGCCCCAGCCCAGCCCCAGTTTACAGGTTTCTTAATGAGGAATATGGGAGAGGACCTAGGACCTCGGTGGATACCTGGATGAAGAGGTGCACGGGGCTGAGAAGGCAGGATGGGCTCGCAGCCTCCCTGTGCTCCGAACGCCACCCTCTGGGAGCCCGCAGCCATCAGGAAGCTCCCTGGACCGGTCCTTTGGAGGCCTATGGGGGCCTCACTGCCCGGGCATGATGGGTGACATCACTGGCCACTGCTGATCACCTCTGCCCTCAGCCCCTCTCCATCCCCTGAGTCGGGGTGGGGCTGAAAACCCCAGCCCTCTAGCCCCTGATTGGCTGCCTGGCCACCATCCCCCATGCTGGCCAGGAGGGGCCACCCCAGCACCTCACTGAAAACAAGATGCTCCCAATTCCCAGGAATCAGGAAGGATTTAGAGCCGTGTCAGATGTTATCGCTCCGGAAATTCCAAAGGTCTTAGGAGCTCGGTACAGTCAGGAATCCAGGTCAGAGACCAAATGTCGGGACAAAAGGCTCTCCGTGCCCTGTCTTCAAGGGCTTCAGGAGCTGCGGGTCTGGGGGACAGAGACCACACACAGATCTCTTTTTTCCTTCCTTTTTCTCTTTCTCACTAGGAATTGAGCCCAGGGGCATTGTTCCACTGAGCTCCGCCTCCAGCCCTTTTTATTTTGAGACAGGGATTTGGCAAGTTGCTTGCCAGGGCTGGTCTCCAACTTGTGATCCTCCTGCCTCAGCCTCCTGAGTAGCTGGGATACAGACGAGCGCCACCCCACCTGGTCCAAGCACATATTTTTATCAGGTCACAGCATAAGACCATGTGGCCCCCATAGGCTCTTGATCTCTCCTGGTCCTTGCAGCATTCTCAACACTGAGACCCGTGCCAGGTGCCCACTCCATGAGTATGTTTTAAATGGATTAATTAGGATTAGGATTTATCTTAATCAAAGAATTTCAGTCTTGGGCTATCGCCTGTGTTCAGGGTAAAGTGTGAGGGGTGTTGGGAGAGAAGGGCCTGGCACTGAGCAGTTGCCAGTCTGTGTGGAGGGTGTCAGGCCATGGGGAGGAGCTTGGGCTTCCTCCTAAGGGTACTGGGGAGCCACGGTGGGGTTTGGAGTGGGAAAAGGGGAGAGGCAAATCTGTGCTGCGCTGGGAGCACAGCTCAGTGGTGGAGCGCTTGCCTGGCCTGTGAGAAGCTCTGGGTTTGATCCCCAGCACCACAGGAAAAAAAAGGGTCTCTCTGGCTGCCATTTGAAGGGTAGTCAGGAGGGGGCAACACTCACCGGAGCCCAGAAGGGGCAAGGTGGGGACCTAGGTAGAGGCTGTGCAGGAGAGGAGGAGGGACATTCATGAGGATGTTTAGAAGGTACAGGTCCCACCTGAGTCGGGGACAGAGGAGCATCCAGGACAAGCCTCCATCTCTGCACAGTATGGCTGTCTCAGATGAGGGTAGGAGGAGGGGCAGGTGTGGACGAGGCTGAGGTGGATGTCAAAAAGGGCCCATGTCCTGCAGGCCATTGGGACACATGGATTGAGGCTGGAGACAGACTGTGGGCCCTTTAGTAAAGGCCACTAGCTGAGGTGCTAGCTTATAAGCCTCCTGCTCAGGAGGCTGAGGCAGGAGGATCTCAGCTTTGAGGCCAGCCTCAGAAACTTAGCAAGGACCTGTCTCAAAGTAAAAAAAGAATTTAAAAGGGGCTTGGGTGTAGCTCAGTGGTAGAGGGCTTGCCTAGTATGAGGGGGGGGCCCTGGTCATGCCCAGTACTGCAAAAGAAAATAAATGAATGGGTGCAGGCAGGCCGACCTGCCCAGGCTGGGGAAGGGGAGAGTTGTGGGGCGGGGTCGGGGGGTGGTAAAGACCCAGGTGTAAGGTGTGAGGTGGAGACAGGTGGAGGGTGGAGGAGGGAGAAGAGGTGGCAGAGGGACCCTGCCTGGCTGCTGGCCCTAGTCCAGGGTCATCCTGTGGACGGCTCCCGCTCTTCCTCCCTTCCAGAGGGGCAACCCCGTGCTGAAGTTCGTGCGCAACGTGCCCTGGGAATTTGGTGAAGTCGTCCCCGACTACGTGCTGGGCCAGAGCACCTGTGCCCTCTTCCTCAGGTGAGCTCCGGGGCGTGGGGCACCGACTGCCCTTCAGGGAGGGCTGCCCGGGAGGCCTGGAGTGTCGTGTCCTAGTATTCTGGGCCATTCCGCAGGAGACCTCTGCTCAGTCCTGCTGGCCCTGGGCCTAGGTGTGGCCCTGTGTCGGAGGAAGGAGTCCTGGCCTGGGGGGGCCCAGAGCAGAGAGAGCGGGGCCTGGACCCCTGGTCTGAGGGAGGAGGCTGGGCCTGGGGCCCTGGGCATGAGGGAGGAGGGCTGAGGCCTGAATTCCTGGGTCTGAGGGAGGAAGGTCAGGGTCACTCATGTCCCAGACACACCTGGCGAGTTGACAAGAGCTGGATTTCTCTAAGCTCTATCTCAGTTAAACAAGTTCCCCCTCCAGCCTGGGCCCCTCTGCGGATAGACAGACAGATGAAGCTCCCCGATCCTATCCTCCCTGCAGGCTGGGAGGGTGACAGGCGCTGGGGGCGATGGCTCTAGTCTAGGTGGAGAAGCCCACTCCTATCTGTGCTCTGTGGCCATCTGGGTAGCATCCCCTGGCCCTGTGCATGAACTCTGGGGTGCCTGCCCCTGTCCTCCTGAAGCCCAGGTCTCCTCCCTGCTCAGAGAAGAAGCTAGGGGTCCAGCTGCCAGGAAGGCACAGCCAGGCCGCTGTCCTTGACGCTCACCTTCTTTGCAAGCCAGTCGTGGGCCTTGCCCCTGGCCAGGCAGTTGGCCCATGCTGCGCTCACGGTGGCTGGTGTCCAGGCCACGGGGCAGGGAGTGCAGAAGGGGTTCTGGGTTCTCAGGGAGACGGGCTCCAACCCACCATCTCCCTGCCCTGCCAGCCTCCGCTACCACAATCTCCACCCAGACTACATCCACGAGCGACTGCAGAACCTGGGGAAGACCTTCGCCTTGCGCATCCTGCTGGTCCAGGTGGACGTGGTAAGCAGGGTCACACGCCTCACCCTCCCCTACTGTGAAATGGGTGGTGTTGAGCCTCGCCATTATGAAGTGGACTGTCGAATCTTTTCCAAGAAGAAAGGCACGTTAAAACCTCAGTAAGGCCGGGAGTGATGGTGTGCGCCTGTAATCCCAGCAGCTCTGGAGGCTGAGGCAGGAGGATTGCAAGTTCAAAGGCAGCCTCAGCATCATAGTGAAGCCCTAACCAACTAGTGAGACTCTTAAAATGAAAAATAAAAAGGGTTGTGGATGTGGCTCAGTGGTTAAGCGCCCCTGGGTTCAATCCCCAAGGAGCGCTCAGTGAGGAAGCATTTTTCATATCTGAGATTGACTAACACCCTGCAGAGAGGTGGGACCACAGATGATCTGTCTCCTTCACACCCCACCAGCCAGTCCCAGACCTCTGCCTCCTAAATATCTCAAGTCTACTTGGTCCTCTGTCCCTGCAGCCTTTATCCCAATCTAGCCCCTAGTTCCTGCCTGGGTCCCTGTCCCTGCCTCCTTCCTGGTTTTATGGCCTCAGTCTTGACCCTTCCTGTCCTTACAGTGGCCAGAGAGGTCTTCCTAAAGAATACACCCCAGGTCAGCGCTCCCTCCCTCCCTGCACTCTCCCCCACGGCTGGGGGTGGGCAGGGCCTTTCCGTAGCCCTGAGGCCTTGCACCACCCAGGGTCCCCAGCCCTCCAGGCTCACCTGCAAGCTGCCCTTCGCCACCTCCTCCTCAGTCCACCCCGAACAGAGGGCATCTGAGTTCTCCCACCCTCTCCCCTCCTTCCTGTGCCTGGAATTCCCGTCCTGCCGTCTGTGCTTCCTTTTCCACCCGTGACCACTCCAGGTCCTCATTCTCTGGGGACAGGTCTGTTCCCCTCATTAGACTAGGAGTCCAGGAGGGCGGAACCCTGTGTGTGAGTCGCTGCTGGGTCCTAGTGCTGCCCAGCGCGGGCCAGCACCCTGTGGGGGCTCAGAGGGTGAGTGAAAGGCTCTCCCCACCTTGAGCTCTGTGTGTCCTGCTTTCTGCCAGCTCCCTAATTCTTTCTTCTCTGCCAGAAAGATCCCCAGCAGGCCCTCAAGGAACTGGCCAAGATGTGCATCTTGGCCGACTGCACTCTGATCCTGGCCTGGAGGTGAGACTGGGCCCCGCTCCCCTCCCCCACCTCCCTGCCACTCAGCCTTCCCTCCTGGTCCCTGGACACCCTGTGTGAGCCTGGTCCAGGCACTGCCTCCCTCTGGGCCTCGGTATCCTCAGCTGTGCACTGAGGTCCTCACTTCTCTCTTGGGGAGGTGCGGTCGCAGCCTGATGTGGGTCCCGTGCTCGGGATAGCGTTGGGCGTTTCTGAGTTAGACGTGAAATCTGGCCTGGGCACCTAAAGACCAACTACATTGGCTTTCCAATGGGGAAATGGATCCCTTCCTCACACCATAAGCAGAATTAAACCCTAATGAGTTTTATAGCTCTTTTTCTTTTTCTTTTTTTTTTTTTTTTTT